GATGATGATTTTTAAAAATTTCCTTAATGGGCCTAGTGGACTCCATGAAGAAATCTTCGAGCGAGAGCGAGGCCCTTTTCTGGCTCCTTTGTCATTATACTCAGAGGCACTTCTACTCGCCCAAATAACTCCATTCGAGTTGCCATGGTTCCTGGACAGTTAAACATAAGTTTGACATCCTCCTTTTAATGGTAACATCTTCGGTAACATGGGTTGAGCTCTTCATTCACAAAGTTCTCATACTATCTAATGCTCCAATGATGGTCCGACCGCAGTCTCTCTGGCTCAACCTGGTCCCAGCGACATGTGATTAATTGTTTCAGCTCATTGGAGTACCCAGAATACACATCCTTCAAGTGCTGATACTCAGCTCTGCATGATGGGTCTTTGATTCCCCTCTTAATTATTGGAAAAACTCCCATGTGTGTCATTGGTCGTCTGTCTCCTTCAATCTCTCTGGCTTTATTGGCAGCTTGTTGTGTTGCCTTATTTTCCTTCGATTCCAACATGGCTTGGAATCCTCTAGATTTTTATTGTGCTTTTGTTTCACTGAACTTGCGGCGCAAATCATTTATATCTGAGCTGTTGCCTAGCTCTCCCTGGCAGTCAAGATCAGCGCATTGGTTCTGTTGTGGCAATTGTCAACAATCCATTGTGCAGCAGACATCATTGATGGCATTCCTCCTCATAAGATGATGTGGGGAAGCTCTTATGATGGTGATGATGATGATGATCATCATCATCATCATCATCATCATCATCATCATCATCATGAAGATGATGATGAAGACGACGACGATGACAACGAAGACGAAGACGAAGATCATTTGCGAAGTAGAATAGTATATAACATGTATAACCACTCTGCATTAGGCTTACAAATCAGGTGGCTCGGACACACTCACTCACGTTGAGAGACGTGCTCGGGAGGTACTCGGCCACAATGGTCAGGTAGACAGCAAAAGCCAGCAGCACTGTGATGCTCGTGCCCATCTTCTCGCCCGCGTCCGCAGGCAGGGCGAAAACCAGGGACCCCGTCAGGGACAGGAACAACACCTGAGGGAAAACAAAATTAAAAGAAAAATAACTAAACAAAACAAACACCGTTGTTTTAAAGGGAAATGTCAAGAAATCTATCTATCGATCTATCTATCTATCTATCTATCTATCTATCTATCTATCTATCTATCTATCTATCTATCTATCTATCTAATCTATTTAACTAACTAACTAACTAACTAACTAACTAACTAACTAACTAGCTAACTAACTAACTAACTAACTAACTAACTAACTAACTAACTAACTAATTAACTAACTAACTAACTAACTAACTAACTAACTAACTAACTAATTAACTAACTAACTAACTAACTAAAATGTGACGTGGCGGCAAAGAACTCACTGGCATAATGATATTCACTACGTAGAAAGTCGTCCTCCGAGTCAAGAGCAAGGTAAACTTCACATTGGATCTGTCGTTTTGATCGACCTGATTCTCAGCCGTGAAATCATCCAATATCCAAGACCCATCACGGCTGAATAACTCCTTATTTATTGGGGTTTGCTGAAATCAAGAGAGGAAATGTAAAAAGAATTGGGGGCTTCTGGGTGCTTTTTTAAAATATCGTGAATAAGCAATCATCCACAACCTGAAATGTTTATTCATCAGCCTGTGACGATAGAAATACCCTTGTTTGCCCCCATAGACACAATTTAGATAATTGTGTAGTAGTCCAGTTTCGACCCGGCATGACATTGAAAACCAATGATTTATTTATAGAGGCACCAGCCATCCATGTTCAGGTGCTGTTTTAGCTTCTTTGTCCTGTCTGTGAATTAATTAATATTCTCTTTTCAATTTGGTTTCACTTCCATGCACACTGTATCTATATTTTCAACCTGGAATCGCCCTTAATTTGCTGTGAGTGCTCCCCCGCCCCCTCCCACCCCCTTTTCCATTTTCTCTCCCAACCCTCCCTATCTTGTGATCATTCACGTTACCGCCCGAAAGGATGACATTTTTATCAGTAACAAAATTAAGGACAGTATTAATGACAATCTAAGAAAAACAAAATTAAATAAATAAATACGTTCAATAAATAATTAAATACGTAAATGAAAAAAAAATAATGATTGGGCCCTGCCTTTCGGGCTAAACCCTACAAAGATCGATACAACGACCTAGCAGAAAGACAGAGCAAGATACTCGACAAAATTCTTCACAAACGGAGTCCGAGCTCAGGTCTTATAGGACGACAAAACGCTTAAACGCTACAGAACAAGAGCAGGTAGAAATCTAACGAGAGTGAAGAAAAATGCATGACGACCTTAGTCGGCTGATCCCAATTTCTGAGGTACTCCCGCTGAGCTTAACAAAAATGTCTTCATTGACATAATTTAAAAAGGAGATCATTTTTATAAAATATAACTTGACACGCGTAAAAAACATTCCGAGCACATGATATAATTATTTTACCAAACACACCAAGCGTAAGAAAGTTTTAAAGTTAATTGATCGAGAATACAATCCGGGGTAAAAACTCTGAAGGCTAGATAGTGCAATAACTGGCCTTAATAATTATTCAGAAATTTTTTTTTCTGAAGTCCGTAAGAAGGAAAAGGTACACATAGCAAGAAGAAGAAGAAGAAGAAGAAGAAGAAGAAGAAG